CACTTTCCTCCCCAAAAAATTTAAAAACAAATTGGGAAAAAAAAAAAAAAAAAAAAAAAAAGCCGGCCGTCCCCTGCTCCCCTCTGCTGCCACTGCTGATGAACAGCTCGGAAAAATGATCCGGACAGAGTTTCCCTCCCATCAGACATCCGGGAGTCTGCAGACAGTTTGTCCATCCAAATGTTCAGCGAACCGAGAGCCTTCGCAGGAAAACAAGTTACGTTCAGGGAGACTAATGTTGGAGACGCTTGGAGCAACAGAAACGATGCAGGAAAGCAACCTGGCACAAAGTCGTTGGGTGAACCTGGCCGAGGTACCGAGGCTTAAAAACAAATTCCCTCGAATTTCTTCACATTTTGTGACGTTGCAACAAACTTTGATGTAGTTTATTGGGATTTCATGTAAAGAACCAACAGAAAGCTGCACATTGCAGAGAACAGGGATGTAAATGAGCACACTCCTTGAGTCTGCCTGTAGCAGCTTTGAACATCTAGTTTTTTTCTTCTTTACACAATATCTCAGACTGAATAGAGTGTCTGAACATACCTTTTGAAATTTTCAATGAGATTTAGGGCTGAGATTTAAGTGTGCTTCTCTGACGCATGTACATTATTAGATCTAAGCAACTCAGCTGTAGCTCTGGTTGATTATTCAGGATTGTAGGTTTCAGGATTGCATCTTTTTCTACGCATTTTCTGAGTTTGAAGCAAACTGCAAATCAATCCAACTCCGACCCGTCTGTGTTCTTCATGATGCTGCTGGTCCAGTTTACTTTTTCAATAACCTTTAAAATCTTCACACAACATTTGAATTTGCACCTACGTTAAACTACACAGTCAAGGAAACTGGTTGCATTGCATTTCATTTATGGGTTTCCGATTAAACGGGAGTGGACACAAATTCCCACCACATCAATGCATTTGTCCTTTACGTTTCAGTTTGCACCCATTTACTACTTCACTTAAAATCCCAATAACTTACACTGAAGTTTGTGGATTTGAA